ATATATATATATATATATATATGACTTGAAAAGTCAGTTTATAGTTCTAGTGTCTCAATACTATATATTTTTTAACGTAAGGAAGAAGAGTGAAGGAGTTTACCTGTAGTTCGTTGATGGCAACCCAAGAATTGGGTGGGAATCCTTGCAACATGGGTACAAGGAATTGAAGGCAACCACTCCAGTGTCCTATCAGAAGCATCATACATATCAGGTTGAATATCTTCATGAATACACTGGCCATATTCAGGAACTGGAAAAGAAAAAGAAAAGTCACCTTGTTATTTATGAAAGTAACACGTTCTTTTCTTCTTTTTATTTCATTGGTCACTATTCTACAATCATAAATTCAATCAACTGGATGTCCAAAGGAAGACTGAATTATTTCATAATTAAAAATCTCGGAAAAAAAGAAGATAGGGGAATAAAATAAACTGTATATTTGGTGTGAAAGTTTTAAAAATATTATACAGAATGTTTGGAATTTAGTAACAATAGTTGCCGACAGATGGCACTCGCTGCACGCTATTGATGGCCAAAGCGATAAGTTCTACCGTTGAAACGTGAACGAAGTTTGTCATACTGGAATAAGAAGTTAAAACCTTGTTATACTATAAAACAAAATATTGAGTGTTAGATTACAGTCTTGCGCTTTTGTGGTATTTGTATTCTTTTCAAAAACTCTGCACGAGTATTACGTCATCTGTTGGTAACTTTAGACACTAAATACAAACATTTCTGTATAAAATATTAACAGCTTTCACAATAAACGTACTATTTGTTTCATTTCTCTGACATCCTTTGTTCCCGAGATTTTTAATTTTGAAATCATATATTATTTATAAATTAAATAGGCATTAATTAAAAAATTAATTAAAAACAAATAAAATTGACGATGTAAATCCTCTATAAGTGATTTTAAATCAATAATTAATGAATGGATAAAAATTCTTACTATTCTACTAAAAACTCACCTTGGAGGCACAAGGTTCACCACAATTACCGATCAGATACCTGTAGAGACCAACGGTGTGAGTAAATGTTGCAATTCCGTCCATCTATTAAAATACAACAGCGTTCGTTTATTCCGACCATTCGTACATAAACTTATGGCAAACCAACGACAAGATCCTTGCTCACAGACACTCAGTTTTTTTCGTCAACAATTAGAGAAATTCTGGCACCCTACCGTTTTACGACACTAACGTTATTATTACTGAACGTTTGTTGATGGTAACAATGAGCATATATTAGTAAGTTTTACTATGGTAATACGAACATTATTGTTACTCTCAACGCATTTAATCAATAAGGATATAAATTTAGCAATTGCGTTTCAAGAGGGTCAGTATGAATGTCATTGCTACTCGACGTTTTTTTTAAAAATAATATCAGTGAAAATTTTGTTACTAAGTTTTATCCACAGTAACATAAAAGTCATAAGTACTCAGTGTTTATTGTGAAAAACATTACAAAATGATTGTTTAAATGGTAATATAAGGACTTATATTTAGAGAGTTATTGAATTTTTTTCCTGTCATGGTATATAGAAAAAATAAAATTAAACTGAGACTTAATTAAGTTGGAGTTTTCAATTTTTTTAAATAATCAATTATTTATCTTATTTTAAGTACATTAGAATATGAATTCGAAGAGAAATAATGATAATTAACCTTATTTTTTACGTTAATAATACAAATTCGTAATTTTGTTTCTGAAATATTTGAAAAATCATTTTTACAAAATTATGATGTATTACCATCATTTACTAGAATAAGTGATCTTTTGTTTCACACTCTATTTTTTGTTTAATTATACTATACTTGAAAAATAAACACAAATGCTGTGAACTGATTTTAGAGAGAATAAATATATAATGCATATGAAATGTTCGCGTAGAGGTTATAACGTTATGTATATAAAAGGTTCGCGTTATATTTTGATTCAGTGAGCTACCAAATATTTTAGATTAGTATTAACTTCTAAAACTAGTTTAACAAAGCATTTTTTTACTCCAAAATTTACAGTGAGAATATAAATGAACCTGTCGAAGTTTATTAAGTTAACATACCTATAATAAAAAACTCTTAAAAAGCTATATAAATAAATATAATTGAATGAACTTACAATTCAAATTCAATAAATCTTTAAGGCATTGCCAAGCTTTATATAGTAAAATCTAAAGCTATTTATTTGCTATTTTTTTAAACATAATTGATTCCTCAAATCTCACTTTAATGTTTTTTTAATCTATCGTCAGAATTTATTCAACTATTTCAACCTCATCTTTTTAAAAAAATAGCTGCTCGTAGTTTTGTAAGTGTGAATAATGTCGTTCCTTTTAAAAGTATTTTTTTAATAGATTTAAGCAAAAAAAAACTATTTTTGCCTTAAATTATAGTCTTTATTTAAAAAAAAAACTATTAAATTCTTTTAAATTTTTACCGATTTGTATTTCAGTTTTGATCATAATACGTTTTTTTAATGTCAATTGAATGTTGCTTTAACTTGTTAATGATGATGAATATATTATAGAAGTAATCAAATGCATTAATCATCATTCATGGTATTTGAAACTACGTATTTTCTGTACTAAAACCATATGATAGTTTTTATTTAGAATTCAGTTATGAGGAAAATAAAAATCTTCGACATTTTTCTTGATTATATCTTCTTCTATCCAATCAAAATAAAATGTTTTTAAATTTCTTTATTCTCAAATTCATTTGACCACGGCTTATCTCGATTGCTCGATTCTTCAATTCAATGTAACAAATCTCAAACTTTCTTATCACTAATTATTGAAATGCATTCTTAATACATGCACATTTTGTTTTCTATAGGAAATAATACATTTATTAAGATATAATTTTTTGACGCATGTAATAATGCAACGCATTTCTTATAAATTAAATTAAATATACATAAAACATTTAAAAAAAATTATAAGTTTAGTTTTCTAATCAGGATAAACATATTTTTATAGCAAAAAATCTACTTCTGAGCTATAACAAATATAAATATATTTCAGGATAAAGCACATAAAATTATGAAAAATATCTAAGATAGTAAATTATAGATCTCGACATTCAACAAACACTAAATTTTTCAGTTTAATGAAACTTTTTGCAGATTTCTGTACAACTATGCATGGACATGCTTTCTAATGCAGATGCCAAAATATTGAGATCATTTAAAAAAAATTAAAAACAAGGAATATTCCATTAAAATGCACTTTCTTAAAATACAGTGGAAACTTTCTCATACACAAAACTGAGAAACACATTCTCTTTCAAAGCGAGTTTTCGTAAATGAAAAGTTAGTCGATTATTGAATTTTCTGAGTGAGTTGAATCTTGTTTATAGCAAAGTAAAATATTCCTGCGACAGCATGCAGTGGAGTCATAAAATTTAAGGTTCCACTATTTTGTGTTCCGTGACCAACTGCGTGATTGTAGAAATGTGGCCTGCATTGCGCACAAGCCGCTTTTACTTTCCATACAAACTGGTACCCATCGGACTGAAGCTGGGTGCGCTTTGAGCCTCCACTGGGTATCGAGCCCCAGTTCTTTGCATTATACTATTATCTTCCCCTATTCATTTAATGTTTATTTAATGGTAAAAAATAATTTTTAGAATTTGGTTCCCTGAATTCACATATTTTTTAGAATGAGTTCGAGTAAACGCGTTTTTCTCAATAAATTTTGAAATTGAATAAATGTTCCATATATTGTTTTACATCAACGTAGTATACTGGTATTTACAGTTGCAACATAAAAATGAATTTTCTGTTATTGTATGCATAAGACTAAGCATTTATTAAATTAAAAAATGTTTTTATATGTGACGAAAAATGTAACGTTAGTTTATAGAAAATCAATGTTTAGTAAGCCTTTAATTATTAACCGTTCCGAGAAAACTCTGACAAAATAATTTCTGATTTCTGAACCTAATTCTAATGATACTTCAGAAAAAAAAATTCAAAATTATAAGTTTTTATAATTAAATATTAATATTTTTTTTGATTAAAAATAAATGCACGAAATGTTTTGAGAACAGACATAGTATAATAAACACTACTTCAGTCAAAAATATTTTTTTTTTGTTTTAATGTAGTTCCTTTTAGTCTGAACTGTATGAGTTTATTTTAATCCAGTTAAACTGTTTTTATTAGTTCAGTTAAAATATTATATTATATTATTAAAATATATTTCATCTATACAATGAATTTTTTTTTAAAAATTCCAGAAAATGCTTCTAAGTAAAAATAATTTAAAGTATAAAATAATATAGTAGTACCGAAAACAAACACTCACGTTTATTTTTTCAATACGATTATTAATTTTTTAAATATTGATTTTGTCCTCAAATTTGGCTTTAAAATTTTTATAAACCTTCATATATATTGTTTAAAAACATAATTCTCGTAGTAAATGTTTTTCAGTAGTTTTTATAAATGGATTATTTAATGCAGCAAGAGCAGTAGCAATTGGTATAAATAGGGCTAAATATATATTTTTTGAAATTTATTTAACAATTTAACCAGCAAGAAAACATTTAATTGAATATTTTAAAAACAAATCAATAAAATAGTTTAATTAATATTGTTATACACAAAACAAAACTCTGTATAACCTGGCACGTAACTGATAAAAATATCTAAACCACTTTTAAGGAAATAATTTAAGTGAATACGAATAGTATAAAAACTATATTTAAACATAAACAATATCCCATTATCTTGAACTGATATGGTGTTATTATTAGTTTTATGTTTAGTTACAGATATTTGCTATTTTTAAAATAAAAGCAAAAATCAAAATGAATCATATTTTTCCAAATAAAACTAATTAACTTAAACAAAACTTCATTTTTTGACAAGATAATTTAAATATTTATTATGTGTTTTAATGATTCAAACTCTTTAAGTAAGTATACAAATATTCAAATTGCTTAATTAAATGTTACCTAAATTAGAAGCAATTATATTTTAGGAAGATAATCTTAATCATACTTTTTTATTGGCAAAACTTAAATATTAAAAAAATATTTTAAGCATTTTATTAAAAAAAACTATGCGCTTAAATATAACTCAATTTCATATCCAAATTTGTCAGATGAAGGGAAAGAATTTGTAAAAATGTCCTCCTAATAATTTTCGTGAAAATAATTATTAAAATTAAATTTTAGACCTTTGTGTTGCTTAATAACTAATTTTATTGATACAAAACCAGCTTGGTTTGAATTATTATTC